GCCTTGCATGCTTGAGGCCCTGGGTTTGATTCCTCAGCACCACATAAGCAAAAAGAAAAAAGCTGGAAGTGGCGCTGTGGCTCAAGAGTGCTAGCCTTGAGCTGAAGAGCTGAGGGACAGCGCCCAGGCCCAGAGTTCAGGCCCCATGACCAGACCCCCCCCCAAAAAATTAATTTTATTGTCAAGGTGATGTACAAAAGGGTTATGGTTACATACATAAGATAGTGAGTACATTTCTTATCAAACTTGTTACCCTCTCCCTCATTCTTCTCCCACTTTCCCTCCTCTCCAAATCCCCACCCCCCCCACAAGTTGTAAAGTTTATTTCCAACTTAGTGTCTTGTGAGGATGGCTGTTGCATTGGTTCACCTTTTGTCGTTTGTATCACCATTTAATTGTTCCCCTTTCCTTCCCTAATTCAGATAAATGTATCCTTGTATTGAATTCTTTTTTTGTTTTGTTTATCTTTTAATTTTTATTTCATTGTAAAGATGCTGTACAGAGGGGTTACAGTTACATGAGTAAGGAAGATAATGAGTACATTTCCTGTTGAACATTGTTATCCCCTCCTTTGTTTCTCTCCTACTATCTCTTCCCTTCCCCACTTAGCCCACTCCTCCCCACCCTGAAGTTGTAAAGTTCTTTTCCAGCATAGTGTCTTGTGAGTATCATTGCTACAATCGGTCATCCTGTGTCCTTGTTTCAGCATTTTACTATTCCCCTTCCCCTCCTCAAATTAGATAAATGTATATACTAGAAGCAGGGTACCAAAATCAAATAGTGACAACAGGGTAAGAACATACAAAAGAAACAAAAAAATTACATACTACATCAAAACAACAAAGACAAAGAAAACCTCTGTGTCCATATCTTGGGGTTCACTTCACTTAGCATCATCTTATATGGTCATATGCACATAGCTTTTTGGCTTTTCTTCTCATCTGATAAGATTATCCTAGACTTATGAATTTTTATCCTCTCCTTGACCTCTGCCTCTAGAAAGACCCTTATGTTGTCCCTGGGCAAAATTTTCTTTTGTCTTACGTGGAATTGCTGCATCCTTCTTTGTGAATGCATATCATTGTTAATTGGGCGGTTGGTATGACCAGTGTTTAGTCTATATTTATTTCTTTCCACTCATAGGCTGTTCTGGCTTTTAAGAAAGTAAGAGAGTAAGTTTCTTTATATTTGGATGCAGTTGAAATATAAAAGCTTAACTATAAGACATGAATCAAATGTGCTGTGCAGACTAATCTATTATTCGGGTATATCTGAAACTATATGAATTAATCTTAATCATGTCTATTCTTTCAAATTGCATATCTTATTATTAGAAATAGTTTGAGAGCTGAGATGTAATCTCCTAAATGAAGGAATAAAAATAAGAGCAGGATGAGCCAGTAACCATTTTTCTTCCTAAAAACTTGAAATAAATGGAAACCAAGAAATGTTAGACATCATTAAATAAATCAGAGGTCTTATGACATCTCTGATATTTTATTAACAAAATTTTGATTTGATTTATCTATTTAAAATAACTAGCAAGGTATTCTCTAAGTGCTAGAACATAAATTACAAATGCAAACCCTTGATTTATGTTAATGGTGGATAACGTGTAGGGCATGGTGAGCAATCACAGAGTTTTGCAGTGTTCCTTGAAGCAGGAATAAAGTCATAGAAAAGTACTGAAGAAAGTACTGCCTGTGGCTCCATTTGCTGATATATAGAGGGTGTCTTCTAAGGAATGATAAAATTGTGATGATGTGAACTTTCATTTCTCTTTCAGACATTTCCAGATCTGGGCAGTTCTAAATGTGTGCATGGATTTCTGCAAGGATAACATAGAATTTTTTTTGTTTTTTTGCTTTTTGTTTTATATCTACTCAGGTAAATCTGGTCTTTTTTTTTTTGTCAGTTGTGGGGTTTGAACTCTGGGCTTAGGCACTGTCCCTCAGCTCTTCAGCTCAAGGATAGCACTCTACCACTTAAGCCACAGCGTCACTTCCAGCTTTTTGTTTATGTGGTGCTGAGGTATTGAACCCAGGTCCTCATGCATGCAAGGCAAGCACTCTACCACTGAGCCTCCTTCCCAACCCTCTCGCTGATCTTTTACTATAACAATTACACTTCTATATTTCTCAAAACACATTCATCTCCTCTACTTTCTAGACCCTGTACAATGTCTGCAAAACTACCAATTCCCAGTTCTGTTCTATCTCAAATAAACTTTCTGGACTGCTGAGAATTACAACAGAGAAATCACATGGTTATGCAAATTGGCACCACTCTGTGTTTTCACATTTAGTTTCAGGAACTTTTGTGGGGTTGTATAAAGCAGCCATCCTGCTGTTTCTCCTGGTTGCTCCTTTCTGATCCTGTAGGTCTTACCTACAGTTAAATACAACTGCCTCGGAGAACTTTTCCCAATCTCCTTGTCCCAGTAGGTTCTCTCCTTTATCCAGCACCCTGTTTATTTCAGACGCTTTCTGATCTTTCTAAGTGTGTGTGCACACAGGCACACGCACGCGCACACACGCATGTGTGGGTACTACAGCTTGAACTCAGGGTCTAGGCACTGTCTCTGAGCTCTTTTTTTCAAGGCTAGCACTGTATTACTTGAGCCTCAGCTCTTCTTCTGAATTTGATGGTTATTTGGAGATAGGACTATCATGGACTTTCCTGCGCTGGCTCGCTTCAAACCATGTCTTAGATCTCAGCCTAATGAGCAGCTAATATTATAGGTGTGGGCCACTAGTACCCAACTATAATTCTATTTACTTGACTTATATTTGTCCCCACAAGTAACTTATTATACATAGGGAAAGAACCTATTTTGTTCATTGCAGTAGAAGTACATTTCCTGGCATACAGTAAGCACTCAGGAAAAATTATTGGATAAATGAATAAATTGTAAGATTTCATTTGAAAAGAAAAGCATTGCCTAATTTCAAAAAATGTAAGCAGCATTGCTTCAAAGGAACATGACTGGAAGTCCAAGAGCTGTTCTTTTAGAAGCTAGGTTGCCTTCTTTTTCATATGAGCTTCTTATGGGTAGTAGACTTCTACTACATGTGGAAGTCACAGCTGTGAAGTCTCTTTGTCTTCCAGTGAAACAGGACCACGCTGTGCTGGAGGGTGCCACGGGAACACAGCCAAGGTGGAGGGTGGTTCCCAGAGCACCCAATGTGCCTGAACCTTTTCCCCACTCAAGAAGTCATATGGGAACCGGGACCTGGTGGCTGTTAACTGTAGATAAGATCCTCAGATCTCAGCTTGCTGAGTAGGTAGGATTACAGGTGCGAGCCACCAGTGCCTGGCATGATGTGGTCTTTGATTGTGTGTTTTAGCAATTAGTCTCAAATCTTTGGGGAGTATTTTATTATTTACATAGCCTTTAGGAGAGAAGAAAATGCATATAGTTAAGAGAGTAAAGAGACTCTCTTAGAAATAATAATACAATAAAGTCTATATTGATACTTGCTAGGTATTTTGCCTTAGTAGTCCTGTCTAGGTATTTTGCCTTAGTAGTCCTGTCTTTCAAATTTATATAAAATGTTTTATTTACAGTAGCCCTATCTTTCAGATGAACATAAAGGTATTATTTAAGCAGAGCTATATAAATTCAGATATCAGACAGCTTTGGCCTAAAAATGCAATTTTATATGTTTCAAATAAATTAATCTCAATTTTCTATTGTTCATCTAAAATGCAGTTTGGAATGATTTATAAGCTTTTGCAAAAAGGAGAAAAGAAATAACAATTCATCTTTTAATATTTCTTAGTGTCTTCTTTTACAAGACAAGTCAACTAGACTTAGTCAAGAACTGGTCTATGAGCTGGGTGCCAGTGGCTCACGCCTGTAATCCTAGCTACTCAGGAGGCTGATTTCTGAGGATCTAGGTTCAAAGCCAGCCTGGGCAGGAAAGTCCGTGAGACACTTATCTCCAATAAACCACTAGAAAACCGGAAGTGGTGCTGTAGCTCAAGCGCTAGAGCGCTCTCCTTGAGCTGAAGAGCTCAGGGACAGCGCCCAAGCCCAGAGTTCAAGCCCCACGACCGACCAAAAAAACAAACTGGTCTATGTGCTATCTGGGAGACAGCAGAAAAGCCCAGTGCAGCTCTAGACCATAAGAAGTTACAGTAGAAGGAAGAAAAGGATGCACCTAGGAAATAAACAACTTATATGAGCTAAGTTATGGGACCTCATAAATAAAGAATAACTTTTCTGTCAGGTGCCAGTGGCACATGCCTGTAATCATAGCTATTCAGGAAGATGAGATCTGGGGATCATGGTTCAAAGCCCAGCTGGGCAGGAAAGTCCATGAGACTCTTATCTCCAATTAACCACCAGAAAACCAGAAGTGATGCTGTGGCTCAAATGGTAGATACGCACTAGTCTTGAGCTGTAGAACTTAGAGACAGTGCCCAGGCTCAGAAGTTAAGCCCCATGACCCACCAAATAAAGAAAAAGAATAACTTTTCTTCTGCTGCTATGACTCCTATTATGACTTGGTATATTTAGAACATTTTGTTTAAAAAAATATCCTATACCCATAGTTACAAAGATAGTATAGAGAATTACCATATATCTCACTCTGCCTCCACTTTATATAACTATGCAGTATTTATGAAAACTATCATTACCATTGGTACATTACTATTTACTAAGCAGTAAACAATAAAAAGTACTTTATAAAAACTCAGAATTTACTTTGGTTAGTATTTAGGTATAATTATTAACATTAACATACATCACATACATTTTAGGATCAGACCACATGCTTAGTTTTGAATCCATTCTTTAATCAGTTAGCACATATCAAGTATTATCCTATGTTGTCTTGGTGTTTAGCTTGTGCATATTTTTTATTATGTGAACATAATTCTAGTTAACATGAACAGATTATTCAATGTTTGTTTCAATTTTTCCTACTTCAAATGATATTCTGGTGATTTTCCTTGCATGTGAACTTTATGAAATTTTGTATTTTTATAGGCAGATACCAGGGAAGAAGGCACGATGTGAAGATCTAAGGATTTCCCTTTTGTTTTACTTTTAATTCAAGAGGAACACATTTAAATGATACTGCAATCTCTAAAACTGAAAATGAGAATCTTCTCCTTCTCTGGTGGACTGACCGCCCTGAGGGGAAAAAAGGTACAGTGAGATCTCTGGCTCTCACTGAGATCGTGAAGCAGAAATGATTAGCAGGGTGCTCATGTTAAAATGCAGCCCTACACCGAAGCCTTTCACAGGTGTTCGAAGTTCCACCAAGTTCTCAGGAAGAATATTACAGCCCCGTTATCTTTTGATTTGTTACCAAGGTTGGCATTGCCAGAACATTTTCTGTGGTTGTGGTTGGCCATTTTTATTTTCCAGGTTTTATTTGCTACTCCTTTGTCACTGAAGAATAAGTTTTATTACAGAGTAACAGATATCAACACTAGGGAAAAGTACTCTCAATTGTTCCTTGTCTTCTAGAACAGATCATTTATCTTTTCTGAGACCTGAGAACTCAAGGGCCAACACCTGTCAAGCTGCAGCCAGCAAACACTCATCAGCCAGGAAGCAGAATCAGAGAATCTGCTGAGTTACCTGACTCCCAAAGCGACATGCCATATGGCTGGACATGGTGAGTTCTCTACTGAGTAAGAGTGTACAAGGAAAGAGTATGTGAACAATGGAAAAATGAAGGCCTCTGGGTTTAGACCTGGGCTCAAATACTGGATCCAGGATGTGCCAGTAGGTGGCTCTTTGAATTTACAAGAGTAATTGAGTTCTGAAGCTGAGCTTTCCCAACTATGAGAGTTTTGTGCAGGCTCTTGTAATACTTGTATAAAATGTGAACATGTCTGATACAGTACCACAGCACCATTGGAGAAATATCTTCAATGTTCCTTCTTGCTGGCTGAACATCTTTTGTTTTAAATGTGGCTGTTTGTGATCATGAAAACATAAGTATCAATGGAATGAATTAAATGTCTACTTAATTCTTTCCTCCCCCAGGGTTGCAGTCAACAGAAACCAGCTCTGGATAGAATTTCTTGACCAAACACTTACATCCTGAAACCAAAGAGTTAAAAAAAAAAGCCAGTTGTTTGGTGGACCAAGGAGGCATAGAGCTGCGGAGAGCACCGAAGGAGTGTTATGGACCCTTTCTCTGGATTTGCAGTCAGATGCCTTGGCTCTGGAGAGGAAGGGAGGGTCACATGGCACAGCAGGGCTGCTGGGAAACCCTTATCTGTATTGGGCACTTCAAAAGGCAAGGGGATTGTTGCGAGTTAGATATCCCCAGTGTATTATAAAGGAGACACATGGAAAATACTTACGTGATGAAGTTTCAGAACTTTAGCACAAATGTTTAAGGTTTTATTGAGGAATAATTGGCAGGCAATAAACTACATCTTTTTGAAGGGTACAATTGATCATGTATGTGTATGCCCACCTGTGAAACTACCACTATAATGAAGATAATAAATCTATTATCCCCAGATATTTCCTTATGCCTTTCTGCCAATCTCTATGTAGCTATCAAACTGCTTATGTCACTGAAGACTGAGAAATTTATATAAATGGGATCATACAATATGCACTCTTTTGCATGATTTTTTTTCACTTGGCATAATTACTTTGAGATACAAGTACATATTGTATTAGGTATAAGTATAGTCATTTGAAGAAGGCTATATAAGCTCAGGTTGGACACACAGAAATTCTCTTATTTCTTATAATAACCATTTTTCTGTAAAGTTTCCACTGTGGTAGGTTTCTATGAGTCACAGTGGCTACTGGGGAAATTTGATGTAAATTTGACATCTGTTTTGCCCTAAAAACTTTTCTAACACCTAGCTTTGTCTGGATGCCTCTTGATGGCAGTATTCAAAATGTGGAAAATTCACCAAGGTTTTATTGATTTAAGAAATACATAATTCTGTTTCCTCATAATAAATTAGAACAATTGTTTTCTTAATCCGATGGATCTCAGTTTGATTCACTGTCCTATTTCTTAATTATGTGATCCTGGGCTAGTTACTAAATGCTTTGAGGTTTGATTTCTTCAATGCATTGAGGTTTCTCTTCCCAGTTTATAAACTGGGAATAATGTACTAGTTTATTGTCTTAAGGGTTAGTTGATGTATATATAGAGTTTTCCACCATGTCTTTACTTGCTGAAGTCTCATACCATAAACCCATAAACCACCAATAATGACACATAACCAAGTAAGAACAGGTATGCTAAGCTTTAATTCATCACTAGCTGATAGCTTGTATCCCTTGGGGGGACTTATTCTCTCCCTTAAGAAACAGTAATCCAAAGGCAAATGATGACATTTATTTCTATAAGAATTATTAGGAAGTAAATGAAATATTTGTCCTTACAAATATTAGAAACATTCTGTGGAGAAAAGATGTAGGGCTACGGTTGAGCCCTATCAGTTGAGTTTCCATATGGAGTTTTAGAGTTCAATGATGAGATATGCAGGAATCACAGAGTGTAAAGGAATCAAAGTAAATGTAATAAAGAGCTCCATGGAGCGCTGTTACTCATGCTAAGATGACAAACCCAGCTGCGTGTTTGCAAGCCTTGAAAAGCTTATCAGACACCCACACTTGGCATGCTCCTGCCATTCTCTACTTCCTGCCAGGCTACCAGCTTTCCCCAAGCCTCTGTAAGTGCTACTTTGTTACCAGTGATATCCTTTTCTTCATCCTATTGGATGTTTTGGAAATATGGTCAATGTTATCTGTCAGTACTTGGAGACTGGACTGAAGTTTCCTCCAAGCACTTGGCTGTAGGAGAGACAAAGCAGCATCTCTACTGGGTTTCTCCAGCAACTTTGCTCTGGTCATCCAGTAATGAGTTGTCTCTGCAAAGGAATCCTAAAATTCTACTGGTTGACACTGATGTCACCACACAAACTTCCAAGAAGATTGACACTGAGCACAGAAGTTCTTTTCCACTCGTATTTAGAGCAATGGAATCAGACAATCTTTCTTTTCTTCTAGCGGTGACTATTTGAGTAGAAGGTCACTGGGAGGTCTGTCTCCTACAGCACAATTTAAATGGCTTCCAGTTTTTCTGGCTTAATCTCTGAGCCCCCAACCCCTGTCCACCCCTGCTGGGACCAGAGGACAGTTGAGAGGTCAGAGGACTGCCTGTGTCTTGCTTTTTTAAGTCCAAATGTTGACACGTCTTCTTTGTGTGCCATTGTTGTTTGACCCTATCACTTTTGTAGCATAGAAATAATTTTGCTCTGTCATAATTTAACATAAAAGTAAGTGTGTAACACTTTCAAGCAAAGCTTAAATCTCCCTGGCATCTCTTTGTGTTGTAGAATTGTTCTTTTGTATCATTAGTGTTTAGTTCTTAGTGACAGGAGGTCTTGCCTTTGTTATAACACATCTATCACTTCTACAAGTCTCTGTTGACTCATTCTAGGTTAGGAACTGTGCTAAATGCTTCAAGGGTGAATCTTCCAGACCATCTTAGTCTCATTGTCAATATAAGCATGAGGGAAGGAGGTAAAGTGTGAAAAATGGTTATTATCTAGCATAGAATAAAAATACAAAATAACTTATTAGAGTAAATTAGCATTATGTGTTTATGTTTTGACCCTTTGCCCCTTTAGGGGAAGAGTCCTATTTATCTTTGAGACTTAGCATGAACAGGGATTTGGGGGCTTAGTAAGTATTTAATAAATCTTGGTAAAATGTGTGAGTGACTGGCCGGTTGATCTGAATATCCTTAAGAGTTTACGATACAGCGTAACTCATTAATATATAAAGTAGAAAACGGAGCTTTAAAGTATCTGTATGTGTATGTATGTGTGTGCGTTCACATGTTGCTCCTAAGACCTCCTACTCTGAGCTGTTTTGCTTATGGCAGTACCTCTGTTTTGCTTGAGCTGTATGTACTTCTAGTCCAGCATTTTGCTGGTCTGGTTAACTGGAGCTTTACAGATTTCTCTGCTCAGGCTGGCTTTGAACTACAACCCTCAGATCTCAGCCTGACTATCTAGGATTAGAGTCATAAGCCTATAATCTGACTATATGTTCCTAACACAAACAAGAGCAATTCCTCTCATAAGATCATGTAATCAGATTATCCTAGAACAATTAGAGCCCTGCTCTTGGGAATATGGAAAAAGAGAAATGTGAGAAACACAGTTATGGTAGATTTTCTGTTTTTTTTTTTTTTTTGTACAGGAAAATCATCTCAATTTCAACCTCATTTCCATTTTCTGCTTTACTGGGGAGAATGACCTTGGAGGAGAGAGAACTACACTCTGAGCAGATAGAACATCCTTGGCTACTGCCCAGCTCCACCACGGGAGCACAGAGGAGAGCCCTCTAATGTCTCCTGAATGATTTAGCTTTATTGCTATTGTCTCTCCCCAAATTGCCTTCAGGATGAATGTTCCAGCCAGGAAGCATAGAGAAGACACCAGCTTCCCAAGCACCTCACAAGATGCAGATGCTCTTTTTATGGAACATCCCTCACTTTGACCATTAATGGGGGCTGTATTTTGTACCTTACAAAGAGAAAATTACACTGCATTAGAAGTTCTGCATTCTGGCTTAAGCAGTGAATTAGATGAGGGATTCAGGCTGGGTGCTTTCCTACTGGGCATAATACTCAATTTATTTTCATTTACATTAATTTCTCTACATCACTGGCTGCACAGACATTAAACTGTTAAATGCAAGCAATTCCCCATTGCTTGACACAAATAGAAGTGTTTAATGAATAATAATAAAAAGAAGCCTATGGATGAAACCAATATACAAAATTGTGAGAATGCAATTTCCCATTGCATAGACTTAGCAAACTCCTCTCTCCCTCTCCTTCCTTTCCTTCTTTATTCCTTCCTTCCTTCCAAATTTTCTTTGAAAAGACAAAATAACTACATTTAAGTGGTGCAAAATAGAATAGAGCAGTATTGTTAACCCAAATAATAAAAAGCATGGATGTGAAAATCTTTATGGAGGGTTCCATGAGATTAACCAAAACAGTAATGACAACAATAATCAGTCTAACTCCTTTTGTGGTTGCTGATATAAAAGAAAGTTTTAATTTATGAATTTCAACTACATTGTTCTTAAACCCTGCTTCCTTCATTGGCCTGCTAGTACTGGAATCATGTCAGGAAACAGAAAGTGGCTTGTTTGAATTAACACTTTTCTCCAAAGCAACCATTTCCTTGGAACAGAATCTTAAATCCCTTATCAAAATGGGTATCACCAAGCTTGGTGCCATTGGTTCATCCATGTAATCCTATTCTGGAGGCTGAGATAGGAGGATCATGATTGGAAGCTATCCCAGGCAGACAAATATAAGAGATTCTTATTTCCAGTTAACTATCAAACAGCTAGAAGCAGAGGTGTGTAGTTCAAGTAGTAGAGTACCAGTCATGAAGAAAAAGGCTAGTAAACAAGAGGATGAGGCCCTGAGTTCAAGCCCAGTATTGGTACCATAACTGGTAGATTCATACCCTCATAGTTTTATTACCACTCACCAACTTTACTGTATGTTGTGGTATTGTTGTGAAAGAGGTGAGGGCCACTGTAGAAGCAGCCTCTGTTCTTCATGAGCAGGATAACTGCACAAAATTGCCTTTATTTCTTTTTAAAAAAAATTATTATAAAGGAGATATACGAGGAGTTACAGTTACATAAGTCAAGTGAGTACATTTTCTTTTGAACACTGTCACTCCCTCATTCTTTCCCAGTTTTTCCCCTCCCAACTTCCCTCCCTGCAAATTCCTTATCACAAATGAGTAACCAATGCCTGCTGTTCATGATTATGTCCTACTACCTGGCAGAAAATACTGAAGTACACAAAATACATTAAAAAAAGAATCGGGGAGGAAGAACAATAGCATGTCAACAAAAGCTGTTTATCTTTTTTTTCCATACCATCCAACTTTCTATTATAAGCAGATTTTATCTTCCATTGGAAAATTATGTTCCCCATTGTTTCCTTGGTTTCTTTGTTCAAGCTCACATCGATTAAAATTTTATATATTGGTTTTACTTTTCTGTGTGTGTGTGTGTGTGTGTCCATTCTGAGGTTTGAACTCAGGTCCTGGGTGCTGTCCATGAGCTTTTTTGCTTAAGGTTAGTGCTCAGCCACTTGAGCCACAGCTCCACTTTTGTTTTTTTGGTTAGTGCTCAGCCACTTGAGCCACAGCTCCACTTTTGTTTTTTTGGGGGTTAATTGGAGATAAGAATCACACAAGACTTTCCTGCCTAGGCTGGCTTTAAATTATGATCCTCAAATCTCAACTTCCTGAGTAGCTAAGATTACAGGAGTACGCTGTAATCTGCTCTATCAGTGCCTGGCTTGAAGTTTCTTTTTCTTTTTTTCTGTCCTTTACAAATTTTCAATTGAGGAAGAAAGGAGTAAATACCTTTGAAAAAAAGTGTATTAGTTTTTTATTGATGCTATAGTAAATTACCACAAATAGCTTAATGGCGTAAAATAAGACAA